ATTCCCATTGAGTCTTACTCTTGGAAGGGGGTTTGCACTGAGGGGACCTGATCACTTGCCTTGATGTTTCCTGGGCAAGCAAGTTGCTTGTTCTTGTAGTAACAGTCGGTCTGCCTATGTTGTTTTATATTTTTCCTGTAGGTCTTTCTTTCAAGAAGTATCTTCTGTTCTTCTAGCCACTCCAGGTTGGTCTTCTTATAAACAAGTTGTTTTTATGTTAACAAATTAAACCTAATAATTGAGTTTAACCAGGTTAATATCTATTGAGTATCTATTCTGATTGATAGTTTGACTTTTTAAAAATGATCAAAATGTATTTCCTGTCCTCAAGAATCTTGTAGCCTAATGGACAGGGGGTGCTATAATTATGCCAAGCTGAAAGGAAGCTATGGTAAGTGTTTATAGGATATTAAAGAGTATGTGGAAGGCAGATGAGGGATATCAGCCTCCTTCTAAGGAGCTCAGGGAAGTGTTTCATGAAAAGAATAGCATTGGTTCTGGGCACAGAATGGTGGTTCTCAGCTGGGCACAGTTTTGCTCCGTCAAGGGACATTTGGCAATATCTGGAAACATTTTTGGTTGTCACATCCAGGGTGAAGGAAGTGCTACTGGTGTCTTATGGGTAGAAGCAAGGGATGCTGCTAAGCATCCTCTAGTGTTCAGGACAGCTCCAGCAACAGAAAATTCTCTAACCTCAGGAGTCAGGAGTGCCGTTGCTGAGAAATCCTGACTTAGAAGCAAGTTTAGGATTTTGAGAGGCAGAACATTTCAGGGAAAGAGAATGATGGCAGAGTGCAGTGGTAGAAATGCATGAGGTGTACACAGGAATTGGTGGTGGGCATGTGAATTCAGAGGGGTGGGCCGTGGCTAGAGATAGGAGCCCTTAGTTCCCAAGATAAGCAGTTTGGTCATTTTTCTGTGGTTGGTAGAAAGCAATGGAAGTTTGTTGAACAGGTCAGTCATTTCATCAAGAATGCTATTAGTTCTCATCATTCCAGCTTTGCTTCATTTCTTGCTCCTTTGCATATTAACAGAGACTAAAACACACAGTGTTTTCCATTCCATCCACTCTTGGCTTCCTACCATCTAAAGAAAAGCTTTGTCAGCACTTTGCCTTGCTGGCCCATGATTCCCATATGTTAGTGACAAAGGGATAATGACAGAATATGACTCCTTTTGGCCATTTAACTTCCTGCTGCAATTTCCAGGAGTATACCATGACAAGGGTTGACTGTCCATGTCTGCTGTGATTGGCCTTGTAGCCGTTTGGCTTTGCTTATCACCATTGTTTGGGTATTCATCAACATCCTCACACAATGTCAGGATACAGTGTGGAGTGTGGAGGGACTAGTCCATGCTCAGCAGTGTCTACACAGCGGAAATAGCCAAGCAAAGCGAGGATTGGACCTGGGTCAGCCCTCAGTCATGGGACTGAAGGCCGCCACCCTCCACAGATTGTCCTCATTTGTTCTCTACGGGCTCACCAGCAATAGAGCAGTGCACGACAATGTAGTCGTATTCACCGGGTAAATATTTCCTACATGAAAGAATGAGGGTCCAATGAGAGGGGTGTGATGGCACCCAGCCAGCTGTGTTTGGTCAGAGCTGAGCCTGATCCAGCTCCCCCACATTCCGCTCTGTGTCCGGAGATAGTGTGAGGATGTTGACAAATACCCTGACAGTGGTGATAAGCAAAGCTGCAAGGTCAACCAGAACAGACAAGGAAAGTATATTCCTGCAAATCACAAGAAGTCTAGTCTCTTATATTCTCTTCAGTATGCAGTTACCCAGTACCTCCATCCTGAGCCCTTCCCCCAGGCAACCTCCAAACTCCACCACTTCCGAGAATTCCATACTACCTCCTTTGAACCACTTCCCACATGAACAGATAAAACCTAAAAACAAACAAAATAAATCCCTGCCATGTCAAAAGAAATGAAACTACTTAACACTAAAATGTTGGAGATGGTGAGTTATTCCTCCTCATCCCTCCCCAGGGTATCTCCAGCCTGTGAGGGTGGAGGGTGGCACCCTATATGGTGCTGCCGTTTGGGCGGAGTGTACCATTTATGTAGGTGTGGTGGTTCATCGGTAGAAAACCCTCCATTCAGAGACCCAGAAACCCAGGTTCAGTTCCTGGCCAATGCACCTCATGTACAGCCACCACCAATCTATCAGCGGAGGCTTGTGTGTGGCCATGATGCTGAAGACATTTCAGCAGAGCTTCTAAGCTAAAAGGAACTAGGAAGAAAGGGCTGTGATTTACTTCCAAAATTCAGTCAATGAAAACCTGCCTGTGGTACGTGGGGCCGCCATGAGTCTGGCAGGTACAGCAGCAAAGACCACCATCGAAGTCTCAAGCTCCAAGGTCTCAGAATTCATCCTTAATTCCATGGTATGGCTTAGGGTTGGAGGGGCTTCACAGCCAGACAGAAGGGAGGCCAACTCCCCAAATCACATTGATGAGCTCTGGTATGGTGCTGTGGGTTAATGCGTCGGACCACAAAGCCTATTTGAACTGCAAGGTCGGTGGTTCAAGCTCACCAGCTGCTCCTCGGAAACCTATACAGGGTCGCTATGAGTTGGAACCAACTCGATGGCACTTAACAACAACAAAAGCAACATAGAGGGAAACATCAGGGATCTCCTGGGAGTTGTGTAAGTATAGATGGAGGGCAAGTGGGTGGTTTCTAACACAGTGCCAGCACATAGTAGGTTCTCAGTGGAAGCTTTTTTCCTTTTGTGCAATGCCTCCAGTCTTTATGCGGGAAGAATACAAATTCAGTAACTTTCTCTTGATATCTCGCGATATAAATTAGCCTTTTCCTAAACCTCAATATCTTTTTGTTGTTTGTTGTCACTGGATCAACTTTGCCGCTTGGCAACCCATGTGTGCTCCTTTGGGTTTTGAAGGTGGTGATCTTTTGGGAGCAGATCTCCAAGCCTGTCTACCCAGGCATCACTGTGTGGTTTTGAATGGCCAAACTTTTGACCAGTAGTCAAACACTAAACCCCAATGCAATACATAGAGTCAGGCAGTAAGTTGGAAATAATTCTGTTTTTAGTTTCTGAGACTTTAGAGGTGGAAAAACTTTTGTGTTTTGGTTGCTGTTTTGTTTTTGCTTTGTGTGTGTGTAACTTTGTACTTAGGGTAAAATTCTCTTATTTAACCAGGGCATGCTGTGGGAAACGGGGCAGGGGTGACATTGGGGTGGGAAGCAGGAGGAAGAGAGAGCAAGATTAAGTTCAGAGCAGATGGTGTAAAGGAAACAGATGTGTCTGCAAAGCTGAAATGTGAAATTTATCATTGGGCTTTAGTACGCTCCTCTGGCCTTGCCCATATGTGGGTCTCCTGCTCTTTTGTGGGAAGCTACAAAGTGCTGGGGACTGATGCTGGGCAGCCTCTTTGACTGATTCTTTCTGATTAATTGTTTCTCCCAGTAACTTATTTTAAAACTACAAAATACTGTTGTATTTTCAATGTAAACAAAATATAGCAAAGCCAAAACAAAGTCATCAAAATCACAACACAGCCATCCAGATAAAACCTCTGGATGGCATTTTGTATATCCTTTCAGTGTCTTTTACTCTGTATGTGTGAGTATTTGCTTTGTGTATAGCTCTTTGCAGCTTCCTTTATGGAGAGCAAAGGAGAAAATTTACTTTTAGTATTTACTTTGATATAATGAGTAAAAGTTATATTGTAGGTAATATTAAAGGAATCTTTGTTTAAATTTCTGTTTGCTTAAACTGTGTAGTCTACCAGTATTTGAAAGGATAGTTCTGCTCAGAGTCTTAATTAATTCAAAATCAATTCACTGGACTGATCCTCACACTTGATTCTGCCCCCTTCTAATGTTCTCACCTAAATTGTTTGCTCAGTTCTTCCCACTCATCAAGGATGTTCGTACACTTGTACCAAGTCCTCAGGTTTTGACCAGAGCCTCTCTCATGTCTAGTTTTCACTCCGTTGACGCTGCTCCCTGCTTCTTTGGTTGATGCCGTTCATGTTTGGACCCTTCATGTGGAACCTTCTTCTCCTTCTTGGGGTTACACTGGCCCCTGCCTGGTATGAGCTAGTTTTCATTTTGCCCACTCCCAGGATCATGACCTTTTGAGACTCACCAATGAAAAGAAAATACACTGTTTTTTTCTGAAGCCAATAACATTTCTTAAGTCCCCATCTTCAAAGCCAATTCTTCATGTTATTCTATCTAGAAGTTTCTCTCTTTATATAGTGGCCTAATGGAGTCCTGGTGTGGTGCTGTGGGTTAATGCACCAGACTGCAAAGCCATTTGAACTGCAAGGTTGGCGGTTCAAGCTCACCAGTCACTGCTCGGAAACCCTATACAGGGTCGCTATGGGTCAGAACCGACTCAACAGAACTTAACAATAACAACAAAGTTTTATCCATTCTCTTCAAATCTGCAAAAGCAAATGGCACAGCTGTTAACGAGTACTCATTCTGCGGTTGTTGAGACTAATAGCTTTATTTTACAAACAAAGCAATTTGTGTTGTGTTTTTACTTCATAACTGTGGAACAGTATTCCTCCATACCTTTTAGAGCAGTATCAAGGATTGCCTTTCAGACCATCAAAAACCAACAGTGATTTTCCAGACCCGGGGCCCACCTTCCTTACTCAGGACCTGAATTGCAGGTGGTTCCTGGTGCCCCAGGAGTTGTGCAGCCCAGCACAGCAGAGAAGGCCCCCACTCCCAGGCATTCTCCCAAGGAAGTGGTGGGCTATCAGTCCTGGAAACCACGGAGCAGGTGTGTGAGAGATCGCCACAGTGGGTTCTCTGCTGCTCCATGCCTCCCCAGGCTGGCCTTCTCAAGAGTGACACTCCAGAGAATTCCCAGCCAGAACCGCTCTTGAAGGATTCATCAGCTGTGTTTGTTTACTAACATGCGTATAATTAGGTCATGTTAAAGAATCTCTCAAAATTTAAATTTCATTCACTGAAGGGAACTTGACTGTTTTCCTGCTTTTTGGGGTTTTGTGATTTAGTCAAGGAGCCCTGAAAGCACAGTGATAAAGCCCCCGACTTCTAACTGGAAAGATTAGTGGTTCGATCCCACCACCTGTTCCTTGGGGGAAAGATTCAGCAGTCTGTTTCCGTAAAGATATACATCCCTGGAAGCTCTGCTGGGCAATTTGGCTCTGCTGTGGGGTCACTGTGAGTTGGAATCCACTTGACAGCAGTGACTTTGGGCATGATCTAATGAAAGAGGCATTCTGGGCATGGACCAAATATCCCTTTGTTTTAAAAAAATCTTTGTTCTTAGATTTCTATGAGCAGGTAAGAGTCAGGTCTGAGCATATTTTGTTCTCCTCTAACTCCTCCCTCCCCTCAGGTTAAGTGGCACAGTGCTTTTGTTCACAGACAGCCAGAGCCTCTTTGTTAACAAGCTCAGTGGCCTGGAAACATGGTGATTCTGATGAGCAACACAAATTATTTATAACCAGGACACCTCAGATCCTTCCAGGAACAAATCAGGGTGTAAAAAGCAAATACATAAAATGAAATAACAGGAACATTTTAAATAGTATAACTTGTGGGTAGAATGTAATATATAGTATTTTCTTTCTCTTTACAACTAGAACCAATTTTTTAATAGACTTCAGATTTTAGAGCAGTCACAGGTTTACAAAAAACAACCAGACCATTTTAAATTTCAGCTGCATTCTTCTCTATTTAGCATTTTTTAATAGATCAGGACATCAGTAACAACATTGGGCAGTATTTGCTCACCTGGTGTTTACTATAGGGTTGTAAGCGTGAGGGATCCAGCCTCAGTATACCTGAGTGAGGGGACTGAAAGGACCTGGGCTCATATCTGGATGGGTATGTCTGATTGGTGGGGCCTGAGTCACTGTCCCACAGCCCTGTTGCATAAGAGGTTGGAAAAGTGAACATTCGCCAGTTTCAGCTTCAGGTTCATAAATTGAGGAACTCCCTATAGGAGGTGGTGGGAGTCACACACATGGCAGATGCCTGTTACAACAGGCTACCAGCATCTAGAATTGTCACATCCCTTACCTCAGCTTTCCTCGCTGTCAAGGATGACTGACTTGGTGTGCGTAAGGAGCCCCCATGACATGGGTTGAGGATGGTAGACAGAGATCCAGACAAATATTGGTGCTCGTGTTATCGGGAACCTCAGGACCCTCTACACTTTGGTCCATGCAGGGTTCTGCTTCCTGGGTTGCCTCCCTTACTCCTCTCTGCCAGAATCAAATCTTGCCATTCTCTCAAGTCTCACCTGAAGCCAACTTGTTGAGATCCCTTTGGTCTCCCTTTCTTAATCTGTTCTTGTACTTGTGTTGAGGTGTTCAGATCTAGGTTTTGTGGGACCTGAAGTTTATACCATTGGGAAAGGACCTTTTGAGAAAAGATGTAGTTTGATGAACACATTTTTAAGAACTGCCCCAGGGCCCATGTCATTGGGAAGCCCTAAAATGTAAGCTTCATTAACTTTACAAGTAATTCCACATTTGCCTATATTCATTATTTTCTCTTTCTTATCTTTCCCATTTGTAAAATTAAGGTATAATTTGCATGCAATAAAGCTCACTGTCTTCACTGCACAGTTTGACAAATGCCTACAGTGGTGTCTGTACACCACAGTCAGAATAACAAACAATCTCATCACCTCAAAATTTCCCATTCCTATGTAGTCAGCCTCCCCAAAGGCCCAACCTCTGCCATCGCATCTGTTTTCTGTTCCTGTGTTTTGCTTTTTCTAGAATGTCATATAAATGGAAGCATTCAACATGTTGCCATTGACTTTGAGTCTGGCTTCTTAACATTAAATGTATTTGACTTTCCTTCATGTTGTTCTACCAGTCAAACACTTACTAAGAACCCAATCTGCCCAGCACTGGAAATGCTGAGATGAGTAGGGCCCAGTCCCTGCCCTCAGAGAGCTTAGTATAGCCTATTGGCTATAGTATATGCTGTTCTTTTGCTAGCTGGCACACATACTCACATAGCTTTGAAGGCATCGGAGGGTCAGTGGTAGAATTCTTACCTTCTATGTGGGAGGCTTAAGGAGCTCTGGTAGTGTAGTGGATTACGAATTGGGCTGCTAATTGCAAGGCCAGCAGTTCAAACCTACCAGTCGCCCTGCAGAAGAAAGATGAGGTGTACTGCTCATGTAAAGATTGACATCCTTGGAAACCCCATACAGGATCACTATGAGTAGGAACCAACTCCGTGGCATGCCACCATCACCAGCACCATGTGGGAGGCTTGGGCTGAATTCCTGGCCAGTGCACCTTGTGTGCACCCACCACCCGTCTGTCAGCAGAGGCTTGTATGTT